GCTATCCGTACGCTCGCTCAAAGACACTAAGGCAAAACTCAGCCTCGCGCGCTCGCCCACCTCTCTATCTACCCACAACGCGAAAAGGAGCTTATACAGTACATCGAATCCCTTACTAAGAGGCGTACACCACCTTCGCGTCCAATAATACGCCATCTTGCGTCATCCTTGCTTAGTAGAGACGTTTCAGAACGCTAGGTTTCTAGGTTCCTCTGCAGGAACTCCTCTCATCTCATCTCTCGCTGGCAGAGTCCTATGGACCAAAAGCGTCACAAGGCTAATTCAGCAACCAAGTATAGGTTGTACTTTAAGCTGTTACACAATAAGATAAAGGAGTACAATATACAGCCCTCTCACATCTTCAATATAGATAAAAAGGGCTTCTTACTTAGAATCCTTAGAAGGTCTAAAAGGATCTTTAGTAAGAGGCAATATAAAAGAGGAGGAGTTGTTTCAAGCCTACAAGATGGCTCTAGAGAGTGGATTACAGTCCTAGCCTGTATCTGCTCAGATGGTACACCTCTTTCTCCATCTCTCATCTTTCAGTCAGATGCTGGAGCTCTAAAATCAGCCTGGGTAGAGGCTATTAATCCAAACAAGCACTCAGTCTTTGTTACCTCATCGCCCTCTAGATAGACTAACAATAATATAGGCCTAGCTTGGCTTAAAGAGGTCTTTAAAAGAGAGACTGCACGCTACGCTCGAACTGGGTACTGGTTACTCATTGTTGATGGCCACTTATCTCATGTAACCATGGATTTTCTAGATTATTGCAACAGCTATAGGATTCTAGTTGCTGTATATCCTCCTCATTCGACCTATAGGCTTTAGCCTCTTGACGTTGGGATGTTTGGGCCTCTAGCGTCAGCCTACTTAAAGGAGTTGTCAAACTTCCTCTATTAGAGCCATGGAATCCTTCCTCTAGCAAAAGGAGACTTCTTTAAGCTCTTTTGGAGGGCTTGGGGTACAGCTTTTAGAAAGGAGACTATTATAAGCTCTTTTAAGGCAACTGGCATTAACCCACTAAATGCTGAGGTTATTCTCCAAAAGTTCCAACAAGAGGCCTCTAGTTCAGATGAAAGCTCTTCTTCTGTCCTTAGTGGAGATGATTGGCTCAAAATTGAGTCTATTATACGCCGGGAGGTGAAGGATTTTAATAATAAGGAGGTAAAAAAGCTTCGCCGAAGCCTCCATCACCTCTCAGCTCAAAATAGTATACTTAAAGGAGAAAACTAGGGCTTAAGGGAGGCTCTAAAGGTCAAAAAGAGACACCAAAAGAAGAGCTACACGCTTCAACTCAATAGGCCTAAGGAGTACCATGGAGGAGCTGTCTTTTGGTCTCCTAAGAAGGTTCGCCAAGCCAAGGAGGATGAGATGGAACGACAACAAGAACAACAG